AAACTCTGCGTAATCGCTGATTTTGACGGACAGACTTCAACCTCAACATAGGCTTGGAACGCTTTTAAACCACAAAACTCAGTTTGCAATGTCCACAAAGTGCTGAACTTGATTTATCAGATTGTCTACATGGGGATGCAGCTTTCGCAACAACTTTCAGATTTTTCCTAATGATGCGGTAGCGATTTAGACCTGGAATACTTTCCACAAAAATTCCCTGCGAGCGGAAGATTCGATATGACCCTAGATCTCCTTATTTCCGTCTGTGTTTCATGTCATATTTTACCCGATGAATGAGGTTAGCTACGATTTTGAAGTTTTAAGCGTCTCCGGTTTTATCTCGTGATCTGAGTTGGCTTTAACTGTACAGGGTGCTCCACTCAACATTCAGTGAATGTCAACTGCAGCTGAATCAGAGTGCTCAGTCCCGAAATTTCTTTCCAGTCATGCACACGAGTTCACTGTTGTATGGCTGTCGTAATGGCTACATTACAATATTTTCTGTCGCTTGAAAATCGAGTTTCGTGGTGCAAAAGTGCGTCAACCCTATGGTGAGGTTGGAGTCTGTTCGTCAAAATCAGCGATTACGCAGAGTTTACGAAAGCGCTCTTCACCTCATCTATCCAGAAGGGTCAGTAGATTCCATGATTATCATTTGGAATGAACAAGAGTTTGAAAACTCTTTAAAGCAGTTGTTTGTTGAAGGAGATTGACTTTTAATGCTTTTAGCAAGAAATGCAGCGATTGCTTCTATTTGAGTAGGAAGACAGGCCGTAAGTGTCGCAAATGTTTCATATTTGGGATGTAATTGTACAAAAAAATTTGAGAGTCAACGAATGCGATAGTGATTAGAAAAACCAGGTGGCTGTATAATTTTGTCTAACTTTCAAAGAGGGCTTTTTCGATTTTTTTCGTTTTTTTCCGTTCAAACTCAACAAGACTGGAAGCCGTTTTGAGGGGTTATGGTAGGTTGACATGCGCACAATACAGCAAAGTTTCAGACAGATTCATTGACAAGAACAAAATTTACGACGATTTTTAGAGTGGCTGTATAATTATGTCCAGCACTGTATATACACCGCTGTATTACCAGGCTGGAAGCTTTCACTAAAACGATGCTGAGCGTTTCCACTTGATTAATTGCATACTATTTACATACCTTTGAAAGTACCACCCAAAAATTTTTTAAGCTTTCTACGAGCGTTTTCTCAATCTCTGACCGAGGAAGAAATGCAACACCAGTATACTAGGTTTCTCCGTTCTGTCCGATTTGCAGATTTTCTGACTGAAATCATAACTCTCTTCAAAATTAACATTTTTGCACAAATCAGATTTTGTTGGATTAAGCGAGTTTAAACTATCAAAAGCACTGCCATGTTAATAAAGCAGGCGAGAGAGAAGAGAAAATTTGAAGGGTTGTAAGGTTTTCATCGAGACCATTCATTTTGACGTGCTAATGCTTCCATATAAGGATAGGCGGACATATTTGCCTGCCATCATTAAAGGCAGTGGCTCGGCAAATCCTCGATCTTTGGTTTTTCGCTTACCTGGGGTAATTTGACGCGCTAATTCCGAAAATCCACTTTTTTAAGCGCGAAAATGGCAAAGACCAGCATTTTCCAAACCCCCTCATTTTGAATTCGGACGAGTGGAACGCTCCCCGACATAGTTAGAGGCGCAAAGTCGTTGCGGTACCCACCTATTTATAGCACTGGGGCATGCCGCAATGTTATAAACAGAGATTTCTTTTATGGCTCTCTTTGCTGCACAGAGGTTTTTACGAGCAAAACAAGAAAATCCATTATTTGAGCCTTCCTCCGCGCGCAGATAGGTCGACTTTCTAATATTTTATTTTTTCTTGCTGTCACGAGCGAAGAAAGCTAACTGGCAGATGGCCTCGCTTGCTCTCGCTTTACTCTGTCATATGCAATATGAGTGCAACACCGTTCGCTATACATAGATTGCTGTTGCTTTTTGAATAACTGAGTTTGCTTCTACCTTTGATCGCTTTGTCGAAGGTAAACTGTCCATATGTTAGCCCATTACACCCTGACCCATTATATAACACTAGTTGGCTTTCCCGCTCCAGCGCCGGGCCATTTTCACCTGCACTGCCCCCCCCCCCCCCTTTTATATGTTCTGGATGAGTTACACTGGGACATCCGCTTCGATACCGCATCCTCGTGTTCCTGATATGAAAATGAGCTTCACCTCCCTTCTTTACATGACGATGGGAAAATGCTTGATAAACATGATAAGCCTTCAACTCCTTAGAAAACGTAAACAAATCAATAAATCGATAAAAGGACCCCGTGAAGCGCCGCGAAAAGTAGCCTATAATCCGCGCTGGGGTCGAAAACATAGGGTTGTTTCATACTGCCGCACTGACTGCAGCAGTCTGCAGCTGACTGCACTGACCGCAGCAGACTGCAGCAGACTGCAGCTGACTGCACTGACTGCAGCAGACTGCAGCAGACTGCAGCTGACCGCACTGACCGCAACGACCGCAGCGGCTGAAGCCTGCAGGCGGAGAGGATAAATAGTTGTGCTTTAAACAAACAACAACAATATATACGTAAAAGCAAAAGACAACACGGTTCAGAATGTTACAAAACAGGTATATGCAATGATAGGAAGAATTAGAACAAATACGAACATACCAAAGAAAACTATCGCCAAAATTTGATTGAGACGGATTCTGATGGAACTTATGATCTTCTTATGCGCGAATCACGCTGTTTTGATAATCGCGGTTGTTTTTTCTTCTAAGAAAAGAGGCTGCGACCGGTGCGGTCAGTGTGGTCATTGCGGTCAGCTGCAGTCAGCTGCAGTCTGCTGCAGTCTGCTGCAGTCAGTGCAGTCAGCTGCAGTCTGCTGCAGTCTGCTGCAGTCAGTGCGGCAGTCTGAAACAACCCATAAGTGTGCAAAGTTTCAGATGTATCGGTTAAGGGGCGCGCGTTTCTATACGCACATACCCTCCTGACAATTTTTGAGTCATATATATATTAGGTGGGTGCAAAAGTTCGTTCGCCAGTTTTTCAAAAAATCGTAACTTCCTTCCAGCTCAATGGATCTCTTTGATCATATAATTGTTTAAAAGAGAAAACCTTTCTCTTTACAGCAGTCTTTGCCATGAATTGGCATGAGAAAGTTCGAAAGTTAAAAGCAATTCAAGGAAAGTACTCAGGGTTGGCATTTTTCAAGCAGGGTCTCGAAAAAGTCTGGAAGTATTTTTGTATGATAGAGAAAATTATGCTCTTCACAATAGTGCCTTTCACATGAATTAAAACGAAAAAGATCGAGAGTTAGAAGGAAATAAAGGGAATTACTTCAGTTTTGCAATTTTTGAGCATGCTCAAAAAAGCCTAAAAACATCACAGAAAGGGCGGAAAAGTCATAAACATGGGTTTTGTAACCTTCTCTTTCTAGCTGAGTGAGTTTCGTGCTAATCTCGAGCAATTTTGTTTTTCGTGAAAAACGCACACCCGAAAATCCGAAAATATTACGAAAATCAATCGCCCTCGATCAGCTCGAAACTCGCTCAGCTAGAAAGAGAAGGTTACAAAACCCACGTTTATGACTTTTCCGCCCTTCCTGTGATGTTTTTAGGCTACTTTGAGCATGCTCAAAAACTGCAAAACCGAAGTAATTTCCTTTATTTGCTTCTAACTCTCGATCTTTTTCGTTTTGACTCATGGGAAAGGCACTGTTGTAAAGAGCATAATTTTCTCTATCATACAAAAATATTTCCAGAATTTTTCGAGACCCTGCTTGAAAAATGTCAATCTTGAGTACTTTTCTTCAATTGCTTTTAACTTTCGAACTTTCTCATGCCAATCATGGCAAAGGTACAGCTGTAAAGAGAAAAGTTTTCTCTTCTAAATGAGTATAATATCAAAGAGATTCATTGAGTTGGAAGGAAGTTACTTTTTTGAAAAACTGGCGAACGAACTTTTGCACCCACCTAATATATTACATATTGCTTCCAGAATATCTATATCTCTGCAACAGGTATAAAACTCTAAAAAAGAGCTGCGTCAAAACAGGGAACTAAAAATCAGACAGAACTCTCGAAACAACCTAGTATATTGTTGAAATGATTGATTTGGAATATTCAGGGTGTCCCAAAGAGATGTGCCTACTGTTTGATTGTTAATAACTCTCTTGTACTAAAGCCTTTGAAGAAGTTTCAGGTACCATTTTGTAGGGCTGGCTTCAACTTAGATTTACGGTGTGGAACGGATTACCTGTTGCTCTTCATTACTGTAGGATCACGGTAAGAACTTTGATAAGGATTTTGAGCCATGGAAAGCCATATTTTGCCTCAGAAAGGAAACAAAACAACCTGGAAATTCTCTCTCTAAACTGATTAAAGTTGCTGATTCCAAATCCGCATCTCATTATGATGCTTCGTTAAAAATTTATGGCGAGGGAAGCAGCAGCGGCCATTTTTTCAATGTTCCTAAAAAGTGCGGCTACACCGTTTAGAAAGCTTCGCAGTTTTGCACATAGTTGAGTATTGAACTCAGCGTCCATGAAAACCCGCTTACACAAGTTTTCGCATTTTTGCAGGGACACCATATGATTAGAGTTTCTACCGTAGTCCTACAGTAATGAAAAGTGATCGGTGATTCGCGCTATACTACAAATCTAGGTTGAAGCCATCTCTACAAAATGGCACCTAAGTCTTCTTGAAAGACTTCATTACAAGAGAGTTATTGACAATCAAAAATAGGCACATTTTTTGGGACATCCTGTATATGCCGAGCATTGATATATGTAGAGTTTTTTGGACAGTTCCGATTTTCTCACTTTTTGAGCAGGAATTGTTTAGTTTTGGCTTCGAACTTTGCGTAGATTGAAGTTGGTGTGAAAGTTAAATACCAGCTTGTAGAAATAGTTGCTCCGATTTGCAAAGATGTCCTGTGAATGCCGATGTCAATGGAATAATATTCCGACGGAATTGAAAATAGCTATTTTACACTATCTTCCATTTCCTAATGCGCTTCATGTTTCTAAGCAAAGAAAGTCACTTGCTGGCATTACAAGCAAAAGTTAGAGTGGAAAGAGTGATTTATGAGAGTCTCCGTAACGGAAGTCAGGTCATAATTCTTCTTTGAGTTATATTGAAGTTTTTAGACATATTTTCATGTTTCAGTCCTACATTGATCTGAGCGTTGAATGGAGTAGTCATCGCGGTTTCGGGTGCGATAACTTTTATAAGCTGAAAATTTTTCCAAAGAAAGGTGGAGGATGCGTTATTCATCACCGAGGAGGATTGAGCATTGATTACGAGCAGGATATCGAATCCGTTGGCATGCAATTACTATTTCACTACACGAAACTCCTAGATATTGAATTTTTGGGAATAGAACTGGTGAGTGCAACGTATCAGATTTTGATTAGTTTTCGTCTTCTTGCTCTTTCCGCTTATCGAATCGAGCTATTAGTGGGTTTCCCTTCTAATTTGCCAGAACTAGCATGTGACCGTTAAACGATAGCAGTGCTAACTCAAACAGCTATACTGCGATGCTTATTGCTAGTGCTTGCACAAAAAATCGCTCATGGTAAAAGATTCGTAATGTCATGCTCATAGTTTTTGTAGCCAGCTATATCATCAGAAATACTGTCTATGTTTGGTTAAAAAACTAAATGTCATTAAACTACTTCCTGGCTTGATCAAATAGAATATACCGTTACAGTGCGTCATATCGCCTGGGTTCGTACACATGTTGCGAGAGCAACTATCCGGATTAACTCTTCAAGCAAATAACTTTTCTCTGTGTATCGATGACAATCTTGTGATTCTCTCACTTATCCCGCTAATAAAAAACCACTCATCAAGTATCCTTTTTTCCAATCTCGAAGATGGAGTACTTCCGACTTTGGTTAGTGAAGTATTTGACTATGAATCGGTAAGCGAGCAGCATCAACATACTATGCGTTTTACTTCCTTTTCTCATTTAGGTTCGTATTACCCGAAATCTCTCTGTCAACAAGGCGGATCTTTTTGATGAACAACTGTGCAATCTGCAAGCATCTAGGCTATTCGTATCTTCCCCCCACATCACCTCACATTCTATCAACTATTTGATACGAGTGGGCTCTCATAAGTGCATTGTTGAAACGTTACAGTCTTAGAATAGGTGTTGCGATGTTGTAAGTTGCAGCTTGTAATTTCACCAAAACAAAACAATTCTTGAAGGGCCAAAAATGTTGCAGGGGGAGAGAGGTTAAAGGCAGTGTCCGGGCAAAATGGGGGTTCTGAGATTTCTCTGCCATGTGAAAGTAGCCCCCCTGAGACACAACATCGCGCAACTGCGAGCATAAAACGTTTGACCTAAAGCAAGAAAAACGATTGCAAATTGGGGAAACTTACGCCTTGGGGCGGGGCCCTCCGAGTTGTTTGAATTCCTGCCAGACGGCCGAGTACGTATGCCGCCACAGTTAGAAACCGTGCGCTCTTTGCAACCTCTGCGTCTTAGCCTGGCGGGGATCCCCAAATTTCGAAATGTGAGGACTTGGAAAATGCATGTTCTCGCCGTTTTCGCGCCTTCTGATGTGGATTTTCGGATTCAGCGTTACGGATAACCCCAGATAAGTTGATTTTTTAGAAGTCGAGTTTCTGCCCGGACACTGCCTTTAACGTAACTTTCTCCTGGCTAGATGGAAAATTTATTCTTCAACTTCTTACCAGAGCAATGCTGAGTTGTTCTAGTAGTAGTAAACAGTAAACAGTAGTAAACATACACTTTGAGCCTTTGAAAGCAGGTGCGATAGATGGAGAAATTTCTCTGCCACTCTTCACTTTTGGGTGTCAGCATTTGTATGATCCCGTTTACTTGAGGTTGGGGCTAGGGGGAAGCTGCTGCTTCTCCTCAGTAAGTGCATGACATGACTGCATTTCTACAGCGAATGTGGAGGAAAACGCAAGTTTATAACCTCCTGCCTCACTCAGTGTGAGTTGGCTTCCATAACGGAAATTTCTATTCCGCACATACGTACATACAGACAGACATACAGACATACATACAGTCGAGTAGATTTCCTGCTTAATATAGTGTCTCTGCAGACGCGACAACGCGGGGACGTCAATAAATGCCTTGCGAGTTCCCGAGCTAGTGTTTTCCAGGATTTTCCTTGCTTATTTCATGCTTTTTAGATGATTCGATGCTGATAAAGAGGAAAAGGCTAAGTTAAAGAGTAGTTTTTGTAAGTTCCATGTTTTCTCCACTCTGAACCTTGACATTGGAATTGATGTTAGTGGCTATACTATGTTATGCCAGTGCCAGGTTTGTACGGTAGAATTCTTTATTGGCCTTACGTTTCGACAAATTCGTCTTCGTCGGAGGCCTGAAAGTAGATTGCAGTATTATCTTTGCAAGACCAGACCGCCAAACGCCTCCCCGCACTGCCGAGTCTAGACCCCGTCCCGCAATCAACGTACTGGGACACGCGATGAGAAAGGAACCTTAATCCACCGTTATGTTAGTGAGAGTCGGTAGAGTCAGTACGTAGCCGTACTGGAGAGACAGACTACACTGATTTTTGCTCAGCCGTCGACACTTATATACGGGCAGGCTACCGCTCACAGATCGTTAAGATAGGCAAGAGTTCGGTTGTTATCGATACGCATTCGTTTCTGTTATTCATGCTAGGATTTCTAAGAGAAATCCACGCTGCTTCGACGGTCTTTCTCACTGAAATCTCTGCCTCGTATGACAAGATAGTACATTTAACGCCAAATTCACCGCCGTTGTGCGTTTCAATTCTATGTCTTCCCAAAGGTGACATCGCATTCGCTCGTCTCATAGCCGCTAAATGCTTTTTGAGTCTGACGTTCAGCAATCTACCCGTTTCTCCGATATATGTCGCCTTACAATTCAAGCATTCCAATTCATACACTACTCCAGCCTTTGCGCAATCGCCTACTTTTCCGTATGGACAGACAACACAATGCTCCGACAAACATTCTGCGTCGTAGAGCCTATTTCTTACCAACCGCTTCTTGATGTTCTCACTCGGAATGTTCACAAGTATAACATCATTCTGCAGTTGTGCTCGCGTTATGCATTGTTTTATTGCTGCACTAAATTTATCGGAAATGTAAGGCATGCACAGGGGTAGTTTATTGTCATCGCGAGTTGGGCTACTTTCTACAGTAGTTTTTGTTTTCTGAGAAGTTCTATCATCGCATATTCACAGATATCCACGTAAAAGCATTTCGCGTCAGCTTCTTGTCTATTTTTTTGTCATTTCCTTTTCTTCTGTCACTTCTTCTTTCAAACCTCCTCCTTCTTTTGAGTTGTTCCTTTGAACGCTAGGCTTGTCTTGCAGCAACTTCGGCTTTCATCCACAAGATAGCATTCTAATCAAGTACTTCATGTGATAAAGACAATTAGTCAATCGTAGAAACCCACTAGCATTTTGAAGAAGTACCTCACAAGAAGAAAGAGACATGAAGTGACAAAAAATAGACAAGAAGCTGATGTGAACTGCTTCCATGTGGATACATGCGATGATAGAACTTCTCAGAAAACAGAAACTACTCTCTAACCTACCCTTTTCTTCTTTATCAGCATCGAATCACCTAAAAAGCGTAGAATAAGCAAAGAAAACACTGAAAAACACTAGCTCGGGAACTCGTCAGGCAATTATTGACGCCCCAGCGTTGTCGCGTCTGCAGGGACACTATATTAAGCAGGAAATCTACTCGACTGTACACACATTCAACTTTATATATAAGATGGGATAAAAATCCAAAATCCCAAAAAAACGAGAATAATCGTATCTCAGTTCAAAAACATTTTGCAAAGTTCCAGCCTGCTCATGCATATAATCTCCCCATCAGATATTTATATATACCCTTACTGCATTTTTCTGATGGCTAGAAATCGAGAAAAAATGATGCGCTCATTTTTCAAATTTCCCGTAAAAGTCTTGCTCCTCGAAATATGTGATTATGTAGCCTATTCACTCAAAGATACTCCCACAAATTGCATTCTTGTAAATGCCTTATTTTTGTGAAATATCAGTTTGAAGGTACGAATATGAAAAGACTTATGGAACAACCTAATAAAATGTTGATGCATAAAGCTTTCTCGCTCCAAAAAAGTCTTGCTCCGGCGACCCATAGAAGCCAAGCCATCGTGGGGGGCGGGGTGGAGCAAGCTAAGAGTAAATACCTTTACCACAATGTGGAGAGCCAAAAGTTTTATTCAATAATCTTTTACCTATAGAAAGCTCGCGAAACGGCGATTTAGTATAGACCGATTTTTTTTAGCTTTCTTCTACTTGGAGATACACTTACAAAGAAATTTTCACTTGTCTGAGTGTTACAGAGCAAGACCTAGCCAGTAAAGGAAGACCCTCATTTGTTTTGTAGCTTTTCTCTTTTTTTCGGAAAAGGAACGCAAAGTTATCGCTTAAAATCTGCTGATGTTGCAGCTAGATAAAATTTTCTATGTGTATCCATAAGAGAGTTGGAAAGAAAGAGACAGTCACATGGATTCTATGTGTTCCAAGCTTTTAAAAGGGATGTTGATTGAGGATACATAGAAATATCCTTAATCAAAAAAATCTCGTCGATGACCTTTCAAAATCAAGGCATTGAGAAATTCATGTTGCACCTCTGTACCACCTACCCTAATTCCTTTTACACCCTCTCTGCATGTGAGCTTACGTTAGCATACATTCAGGTTCACTTACCCCTTTCACTTTTCTGGGTCGGAAACAACCCCTTCACCGGAGCGGACCCTGCTTTCCTTATTGCACTTATGTTTACAAGTATAATTGTGAATATTTCAGCCTATAACAAGAACTGGTCTTTGGACTAAGTTCAATATTTCCAGAGAACTAGTTCTTGTAGGAACCTGAAAATGGACGTTTTTACTTCTCAAGGGCTGTAGTACAGGGTTGGGGGAAAGTCTTTGAACAATTTCTGATGATATTGTATGTTCGGGTTCTCCATATAATCTTGTATGCTAATCAATGTATTTGCTTCTTATACTCGTAAGTACAAGCTATCCGAAAAGTGGACTATTAGCATTATTCCTATCGGAGATATGTCATCTGGAACGAAGCGAGCGTTGGTTGCGAAGGTGCACGAAGAGGGGATGGCTGACCAGCAAATTGCGTGTGTTCTCCAAATTTCACAGATTAGTGTCTCCACCTTTCCAGGATATGAAGAGCACCTAGGACTGTTGTGGGAGTGGTAAATTGGCTACTGCGGACACTTACAAAAATCTGAAGATCGTTCGCCAGCGTCTTCGTCGCAATCCTCTGCAAAGCTGATTGAGCTGGCTTCACAGCTGTCCATCTCTGGCAGGACAGGCTCCAATATTGTGGAACAGGACCTTGTGATGAAGCTTTTCAAAATGCCAAAAATTCATCTTTTTGGGAAGACATGAAGCTGAATTGACTGCGCAGTGCCGTCGACTGCTTGAACTTCTCGCCAAGGCACGCCACCGAACAATTCTTTTCTGTCGTCAGAATTCTTACCGTGAAACAGGTTTTTGACGGCCAAAATAAGGGAATCATCACCTAAACGCCCTAAGAAGCTAGTAAGAAAGGTTGACTCGCAGAAGAAAGGCTTCATCCGGTTTCTGTGATGGTTTTCGCGGCGATCGTTTCCGACACCAAGATGCTGCTCATTTTTGTGTCTCAGGGCAACAAGGTGAACATGCTACGCATGTAGATTCCATCCAGAAGAAAGAATTGTTGGCCTGGACCAATAACCATTTTGCCGGGAGCGATTAGTGTTCACAGCAGGATAGCGCATTTGCGCACAGAGCGCAGGTTGTTTAAGCATGCCTCCAAAGCAATGTTAAGGATTCATCACTCTTGCGGAGTGGCTGCGTATTTGGCCGGATCTGAATACCCTCGACTACAACTTGTAGTCATTTTTTAGGCCAAAAACCTGCGCTTACCCATGCAAGACTGTGGGATATCTGCGACGCGCTCTCTAGAATGCATGAGAGGAAGTCGTTGTGGAGCACCTCCGTGCCACCATAGTAAGCGTTTCCAAGCGTTTCCGAGCTTGCGTTCACGTCAAAGGAGGAATCTTCGAGTTGTGAAGTCAACTTTATGTAGCAGACAGTTGAGTAAGCATTATTCATTGATTCCATATAATCCTCTTGCCTAGCTTCGTCATGACGTTGAAAATACCGTGTTTAGGGGCTTTTCCCCAATCTGTATACAATTACTTTGTGAGAACAGCTCAACATTGCATAGGTAAGAACTGGAAAATTTTCGTTTTTCTTCTAGCTAAGACGGAATCTTTGTGGAATATTGTGAATTCCAATTTACTCTCAGTTTTTGAGCATTTGAATCTTTTTTGTTTTTGGACTTTGAACTTCGCTGTCGAAGTTAGTGCAAAATTTGGAATGCCATGTAGAGCTTGGTTTTCTTATTGCCTTACAACATGATCAAAAAGCAATTGACTTATGCGGTAAAAAGTCGTTTTCGTGGAATCATTTCATTTGCTGTGAGGTATTAATCTTTTGCGCCATAAAGATTTGGTAAGAGGTATATTCAGTCAAAGTTCTAATTTCGTCGCCCTTCTCGCCCTCAGAAATCTGAACGTTTTATTTTCTTTGCACTCTGCCAAACGTGTCTCCAGTGCTGCCGTTCTTAGCCTTCTCAAAGTTTCGCAATCTCATAGATTACTAAGAATTGAGGTACTGGAAGAACCTTTACCGCTCCTTTACTGATCCGCTCCGATGGATGGTGAAGTTAAACAAGTGAAGCATAATTTAAAGTGGAGTTACGTAGTAGCTATAGATCGCAATCATAAGAGTGGGAGAAACTCGGAGCACTCTTGAACAGCGTTCATGTTGTTCGTTTCCGTATTTTTGGTGATTACTCGACAACCTTCCTAGTCGAGTATTCAATCTGAAGTGTAAGAGTAAATTTTTATCACTGTCATCTTGTAAATTTCTATGCCTGCCCATCCTTAAATCTTAACTCAATAATCCCAGTTTCATAAAATAGAATGTGTAAGGTGGAACGTGTAAAGTGGAAGAACCATTGCTAACTCGTACGCCATTGAAATGCTGTCCTTGCATCAGCGACTGCTCTACACATTCACATAGACCAAAATAAGCGACTGCTTCAAAATTTTGAAAACTACATGAACATAGCTTGTATGCGACACATTGCAGATGCATTAGTAGCCAGATCGCAATTTAAGTGAAATTTAGAAACAACAGACTTCTGAGACGAAGGCGTTGAAAACTAGAACCGTGATTGGAAAGTAAAGACCGTTTTACTGAACTTGTTTAGCTCAGAGAGTTCCAAATTTTTCGTTGTTTTTGCGTAATAATAGCTTCTTTGCAGCAATGGTTCGCAGGAGAACGCGAGATCAGCTTAATCAATATAACCATTAATAAACCGTTAGACTGGGATGAATTGTTCAATGGAATCGATCCAAGTAACATCACGCTATTAGGCATTGGCAATCTTGGGTAAGTAAATCATTGCAAGTCCTACCACACGTAGTTCAACACTTTTTAGAGCCGGTGGGATACATGATGGGAAGTTAAACTTCGATCATGGAGTTCTTTCCGTCTTTTTATGTGGTACTGGTTGCATATTAAAATCATTACCAACAACCAATCTGCACTATGAATAAAGTTTCGCTTAGATTTTCATTCTTTTGCAAGACAATGCCAAAACAAACATGAGAAACCAGGCAGTCTTAATCGCAGAAAGCCAGTTATGATAAGAACCGGGAACAAGACGAAGAGCCGTGGACGACAATCGAACTTTTAACTCCTGCACTTAATTTTTGTGGGAGAAAGAAATACAGAAGAGCCAAAAAACAGTTTACTTCGGCAAAGCAAGCCAGTTTTATCATCTCTTTTCCATCTAGAGAACTCATCACTCTCAAAGCGGAGGTAGCTTTTATCGTGATCAAATCACTACCACCATGGTCTGAGGTTTCCTAGAAGGTCGACAATCCGCACAGTTCTGATCGGACAACAGAAGGATTTTACCACTGTTTGTACAATGGTCGCATTGCTGGTTGTGGTGTTTATACTGTAGGGGCATGGTAACATTTTGTAGACGATTATAAACAGGGTTCAGTGCCAACTAGAGATAGTTCTCACAAGTGTTCTTCTAAGTTTGTAGCTAGCTGACAAGGAAGGGCACTTGACCAGAAGTGGTCTTTTTCAACAGATATATCAATCAAATGGTTTCCAATATTGCATACAAAACATGGTTTTGTGCATTTTGCTTTTTTTAGGCACAATTGAGTGTTAGAAGTTTACGAAAACTGTTGGAGTTAAAAAAAACGTAAAGTTAGCTTAAATCTTGGTAGAAAGTCGTAGATTAAGGTCGCTTGTTCGTTATGGAGTGACTTTCAACACCCGCGACGTCGTCAGTATTCGTGGTCGTGTTATGAGGATCACAACGTTATATAATGTTGTAGAGTTTCGTTGAGACACTGCCGAGATCTACAACCGACCAGCGCCAAATGCCCCGTTGCTCTGAGCCCAATTGCGGCAAATTATATATCATATTGAGCTTTTGATCTTTTCACGCTGACAGCGTCGCAAGGCCCCTGTTTTTGATTTGGACGAGAAAACAGGAAAAAACTGTGTTACCAAAGACCTCTTGTTTTTCTTCAATTCAACTCTTTTTACCCGGTTTTTCGCATATTCGATAAATGTCGCTTCTGTGTATGATGAAGACAACGTCTCAGACCTTACTTTCCTGCTTATGTCGGTTTTTTTGAAAATTGGTAAAAAATGCTTTCTAGCTTGTTTTCTTTCAGTGCTTTCGCAACGAATTTTCCAAGTTAGACAATACTTGCTCAAAATGATGTGTGGAAGAATTCAGACAACGTCGCATGATACAGAAACAACAATGCGAGGGTAAAAACAAAATGACGCATCAAAAATCAGATTGGCGTCGATGTGCAATTTATTTTTTAGGAAAAAAAGTTCGTGTCTGACATGTTCAATCTAGTTGTTGATAAGTTTTCCTTCTTACGGTCTCCACATTACTGCCACAGCTAAACAACGTTTCTTTTCAGTTTGAAAAAGAACATGTTCTTGCTGCAACCCATCAACCCACAGCGCTGAAGAAGAAAGCTGTGCATAGGAAACCACCAGGATAAAGATTACAAATCTGGTGTGCTACCTCTGCTTTCTATGAATTTTTCACGTTTCCTGGTTTGCTTCATATCTCTTGATTTCCATTTATTTCTCTCAAACAACTTTCACTTTTTATAGGGGGAAGGAACTTGAACATTGACTATCGAATGTATGGTTCAAGGATCTTTCGAATGATATACATTTGGTGGGAGAAGCTACTTCGAGTCAAATGCCTCCGCTTGTGAAAACTTGATGTTTTGAGAAAAAGAATCAAGCACTTGTCGTAAGCGTGGCGGACTGTTGCGAAACTAGCATAAACACTATATCAGCAGAGCTCGGGGGTTGAGATTTTCGTCATGTGCTGTATCGAATGAAGTTTCCGTTTGGTAGTGCTATCATCACTTCTGTCACTAACGTCCCCCCGAACGGTCGGCTTATTTTGCTGCTTTGATCTAACCAACGATCGAGGATAGTTAAGAAGAAGTTCGGTGGAAGAAAGCGTGGCTGGTCCACCGAAGGATGCCAAGACGAGATACCAAAGAACGCAGGACCCAACGACGACAAGAGCAGTTACGCGTATGTTTTTACAATGCTCGTTCTCTGTGTAGTGAGGAAAGATTAGTTGCGCTAGAGGAGGAACTAAGTATGATAAAATTTGACATTGTCGGACTATGCGAAACTCGTCGCAGCGGCGCTTCTTATACGAAACGAAGCTTCTCGAACTTACACTTCTATAATAGTGGACGAACAAATGGAGAAGCCACTAGAAGAGGAGTCGGCATACTAGTGAATGAGCGCATTCATCGTTATTGCGTAGGAGTAACCTTTGTCTCGAAACGCCTTATACAGATCCAGTTTCGGGTGCGGGGAAGGTCTATGCGGGTTTCTATAGCCTACGCGCCATGGCAGGAGAATGATTATGAAGAATTTGTAGAAGAACTTCGATGCGCACTTTCACAAAAACGATACACCTATGACATTTTGGTTGGCGACTTTAACGCGCGTATAGGAAGAGATGGGCCACGAAGCGAATATGTCGGCGACAAGTGTCTTGGAATACGGAATAGTAAAGGGCAGGCCATGCTTGAGTTCGCTGAGTCTGAAAAATTCTATGTAATGAATTCCTTTTTCGAAAAGCCTCAGAGACGAAGATGGACTTGGCGATCTCCCAATGGACAAGTACTGGAAGAGATAGATTACGTATTGACACGACAACCAAGGATAATAACTAATATTGCCGTTCTCAACAAATTTAATGCTGGAAGTGACCACAGACTTATCCGGGCTGATGTCGACATCCGGATCATACACAGTAAAGTACGTTTTGCTCGACTGCCTCCCGATTATTGCGAGCTCGAAATGAAGACAGCTTTACTTAATGATCCCCGAGTAAATGAAATTTCATCAACTCTGATATCGAATGATCCGGTGAGCTCTTGGTTGCAACTACGTACATCAATACAGAAGGCTGCTGCTCATGCAGAAGTCCACTGGGAACCGCTAAAACGGATATCCGATAGAAAAATGCATTCAAATTGCATTCTTGTAAATGCCTTATTTTTGTGAAATATCAGTTTGAAGGTACGAATATGAAAAGACTTATGGAACAACCTAATAAAATGTTGATGCATAAAGCTTTCTCGCTCCAAAAAAGTCTTGCTCCGGCGACCCATAGAAGCCAAGCCATCGTGGGGGGCGGGGTGGAGCAAGCTAAGAGTAAATACCTTTACCACAATGTGGAGAGCCAAAAGTTTTATTCAATAATCTTTTACCTATAGAAAGCTCGCGAAACGGCGATTTAGTATAGACCGATTTTTTTTAGCTTTCTTCTACTTGGAGATACACTTACAAAGAAATTTTCACTTGTCTGAGTGTTACAGAGCAAGACCTAGCCAGTAAAGGAAGACCCTCATTTGTTTTGTAGCTTTTCTCTTTTTTTCGGAAAAGGAACGCAAAGTTATCGCTTAAAATCTGCTGATGTTGCAGCTAGATAAAATTTTCTATGTGTATCCATAAGAGAGTTGGAAAGAAAGAGACAGTCACATGGATTCTATGTGTTCCAAGCTTTTAAAAGGGATGTTGATTGAGGATACATAGAAATATCCTTAATCAAAAAAATCTCGTCGATGACCTTTCAAAATCAAGGCATTGAGAAATTCATGTTGCACCTCTGTACCACCTACCCTAATTCCTTTTACACCCTCTCTGCATGTGAGCTTACGTTAGCATACATTCAGGTTCACTTACCCCTTTCACTTTTCTGGGTCGGAAACAACCCCTTCACCGGAGCGGACCCTGCTTTCCTTATTGCACTTATGTTTACAAGTATAATTGTGAATATTTCAGCCTATAACAAGAACTGGTCTTTGGACTAAGTTCAATATTTCCAGAGAACTAGTTCTTGTAGGAACCTGAAAATGGACGTTTTTACTTCTCAAGGGCTGTAGTACAGGGTTGGGGGAAAGTCTTTGAACAATTTCTGATGATATTGTATGTTCGGGTTCTCCATATAATCTTGTATGCTAATCAATGTATTTGCTTCTTATACTCGTAAGTACAAGCTATCCGAAAAGTGGACTATTAGCATTATTCCTATCGGAGATATGTCATCTGGAACGAAGCGAGCGTTGGTTGCGAAGGTGCACGAAGAGGGGATGGCTGACCAGCAAATTGCGTGTGTTCTCCAAATTTCACAGATTAGTGTCTCCACCTTTCCAGGATATGAAGAGCACCTAGGACTGTTGTGGGAGTGGTAAATTGGCTACTGCGGACACTTACAAAAATCTGAAGATCGTTCGCCAGCGTCTTCGTCGCAATCCTCTGCAAAGCTGATTGAGCTGGCTTCACAGCTGTCCATCTCTGGCAGGACAGGCTCCAATATTGTGGAACAGGACCTTGTGATGAAGCTTTTCAAAATGCCAAAAATTCATCTTTTTGGGAAGACATGAAGCTGAATTGACTGCGCAGTGCCGTCGACTGCTTGAACTTCTCGCCAAGGCACGCCACCGAACAATTCTTTTCTGTCGTCAGAATTCTTACCGTGAAACAGGTTTTTGACGGCCAAAATAAGGGAATCATCACCTAAACGCCCTAAGAAGCTAGTAAGAAAGGTTGACTCGCAGAAGAAAGGCTTCATCCGGTTTCTGTGATGGTTTTCGCGGCGATCGTTTCCGACACCAAGATGCTGCTCATTTTTGTGTCTCAGGGCAACAAGGTGAACATGCTACGCATGTAGATTCCATCCAGAAGAAAGAATTGTTGGCCTGGACCAATAACCATTTTGCCGGGAGCGATTAGTGTTCACAGCAGGATAGCGCATTTGCGCACAGAGCGCAGGTTGTTTAAGCATGCCTCCAAAGCAATGTTAAGGATTCATCACTCTTGCGGAGTGGCTGCGTATTTGGCCGGATCTGAATACCCTCGACTACAACTTGTAGTCATTTTTTAGGCCAAAAACCTGCGCTTACCCATGCAAGACTGTGGGATATCTGCGACGCGCTCTCTAGAATGCATGAGAGGAAGTCGTTGTGGA